GAAGGGGAAGATATGGAGGCAGTGACAGATTTTATCTTCCTGGGCTCCATGATCACTGTAGATGGAGACAGCATCCACGAAATTAAAAGACACCTGCTTCTTGAGAGGAAAGCGATGACAAATCTTGAGAGCATCTTAAAAAGCAGAGACATCACCTTGCCAACAAAAGTCCGAATAGTCAAAGCTATGGTTTTTCCTGTAGTGATGTACGGAAGTGAGAGCTGGACCATAAAGAAAGCATACCGCCGAAGAATTGATGCCTTTGAATTGTGGTGCTGGAGGAGGCTCTTGAGAATCCCCTGGACTGCAAGGAGAACAAACCTATCAATTCTAAAGGAAATCAACCCTGAGTGCTCCCTGGAAGGACAGATCCTGAAGCTGAGGCTCCAGTACTTTGGCCATCTCATGAGAAGAGAAGACTCCTTGGAAAAAACCTTGATATTAGGAAAGTGTGATGGCAAGAGGAGAAAGGGACGACTGAGGATGAGATGACTGGACAGTGTCTGCGAAGCAACCAACATGAATTTGACACAACTCCGGGAAGCAGTGGAAGATAGGAGGGCCTGGCGTGCTCTGGTCCATGGGGTCACGAAGAGTCGGACACGACTAAACGACGAATTTATGAAGAGTTATAAAAGAGCATAGTTGACCAACTGCATTTTTTTTTCAATAAGGCACTAACTACAAACTAGTATACAGTGATCATGTTCATGTATAAAGTCACATGTCTCCACACATCATGTATCTATCTGAGCATGGTATGACGACGCTTAACAAAATGGTATGAAATAATTACCAGATAACTGAATAATTGTACATATATAGAAATTTCAAAAAAGTCTTTCAAATATCATTACGGTGGGACATTCTCCCCCACAATATCACATGCCACTGTATCTGGAGAGGACTACTGTGTATTAGTAAATGAAAGTATTATGTGGCACTTTTATGAATAATTGTGTGGCCATTTTGAAAAACATAGTAATATAGCTGTCCTCAGAGATACGGCGAAATAACATATGCCTTCTTTCATTGCCATCTCATTTGCAAATATTGCAATAAGAAATTCTAAACAAAGTTTTAGTTTTATTTCAACATTTAAATCATGTTAAGTGCATATAACATTATTTTCTTCTAAAGAAACAGCACTGTCAAAGGGAAAACATCTACTATTCACAGTGTACTCAATGAAGTTTGCAACTGAGGTTTTTATTGGACCACAAAAAATTTATCAGATTGTCAAGCCAAGAGTCCAATCTAGGAAATAACAGGGCAAAGAAGTCTAAATTTTACATCAAGATGTACTTAAGTATAAAATGTAACTCAGTATTTCTATAGATTTCAACCTTTGTAAGAATCTTCTTACAGGGACGTGGTGGCGCTGCGGGCTAAACCGCAGAAGCCTGTGCTGCAGGGTCAGAAGACCAGCAGTCGTAAGATCGAATCCACACGACAGAGTGAGCTCCCATCGCTTGTCCCAGCTCCCGCCAACCTAGCGGTTCAAAAGCATGCAAATGCAAGTACAGTGGTGCCTCGCTTAACAGGCGCCCCGTTTAACGACAAATCCGCATAGCGATGGCTTTTTTGCGATTGCATTGCGATGTTGCCCCATTTTCCCCCAGCTGACCGGCAGCGGCTTGGGAAGGACCAAAAGCCCTAGCCGGCATTTTCCCCCAGCTGAGTGGTGGGAGCTTCCGAAGCCACCGCCGCTCAGCTGGGCGAAAATGCCGGAGGTGGCTTCAGAAGGACCGCGGGGGAGCCCTCCCAAAGGTCCCATTTTCGCACAGCTGATCGGCGGTTCCAAAATGGCTGCCCGCTATGTAGCCTCGCTTTAGAGGCACCGAAAATGGCCGCCCCTATGGAGGATCTTCGCATAACGGTGAGTTTTCCCCACATAGGAACGCATTAAACAGGGGTTAATGCGCTCCTATGGGTTTTTTTTGCCCCGTATAGCAACGAATCTGGATAGCGACAATTTATCCACAACGGATAATCGTCGCTATGTGGGGCACCACTGTAGATAAATAGGGGCCACCTTGGTGGGAAGGTAACAGCATTCCGTGTCTAAGTTGCACTGGCCATGTGACCACGGAAGGTTGTCTTCGGACAAAACACTGGCTCTATGGCTTGGAAACGGGGATGAGCACCGCCCCCTAGAGTCGAACACGACTAGACAAAAATTGTCAAGGGAAACCTTTACCTTTAAGAATTTTCTTAACTTACCTGAGTACATAAGCTTCCTGCTTGTCAGTTTTTGTCACACTTATGATCAAACAATGCACATTCTCCAAAAGTTTGTCCCACTCAAACCTGTAGAAAGAAAACCAATAATGGACTTTTAGGTACAAATAAATTTTGTATCAATCAAATATTATTATGCCTCAAATGAAGCCACAAATGTGTAAAACAGAATGAGTTTAAATATATCTCCAATAATGTAAGTATCACCACCATCATGGAAAACTGAAACTATTTATGCCTTTAAAATTCCTAAATAAAATTAGTAATCTGTCAATTAAAAATGAAAAGTAATGCAACATGTGGAAGAAGCAAGACATTTGTCTTTCCTGTTTCATTTTACCACATTAATACCAGAGCACTCATACTGTCTAATATACTCAGAGGGCATCTAAGCAGGCTCCCCCCCCCCTTGAGTGGAGAGCTCAATTTATCTGCTCCCTTTCTCCCCTGGGCTTGAACACAAGGCTCCACCTTTGTCTCAGCAAGTTTCGTTGAGAGTTTGATATTCCCCTGAAAGCCCAGTGCTATTATCCAATGTCTCCGAGGATGAACGGACAGAGAAATTCTTAAGGCAATAGAAAAAGGAGCAAGCTAGCAGACAGAAAAACAAGTTTCCTATTGAGAGCAATACAGGAACTAGAACTGAAATACAGTGGTGCCCCGTATAGCGAGGTTAATCCGTTCCGGATTAACCTTCGCTATGCGAAAACATCGCTGTACGGGCAAGGAAAGCCTATTGGAACGCATTAAACTTAGTTTAATGCGTTCCAATAAGCGTCCAAACTTACCCCTCCAGCGATGTTTTCGCGTCCAGCGGCCATTTTGGAGCCGCTGATCAGCTGTTCGGCGGCTCCAAAATGGCCGCCAGACGCCCCAATCGTCGCAAAGCGAGTGTGGCGATTGGGGCAGATCCGTATAGCGAGCCCCAAAAAGGGATCGCTATACGGATTCTTCGTTAAACGGTGCACTCGTTAAGCGAGGCACCACTGTATGGGGATGTTCTTTCCACTACAGGATGTACAGTGGACCCTTGACTTACAGACGGCTTGACTTACAGACTGAGATTTGACTTACAGACCAGAAAAAAAACAAAATGGAACAAAAACGGCCTGTTACGGGATTAATCGGTTTTCAATGCACTGTAGGTCAATGGAAACTTGACTTACAGACTTTTTGACTTGAGAACCGCCTTCCAATACGGATTAAGTTCTCAAGTCAAGACCCCACTATATTAGCTCCGGAACAAAAACGGCCTGTTACGGGATTAATCGGTTTTCAATGCACTGTAGGTCAATGGAAACTTGACTTACAGACTTTTTGACTTGAGAACCGCCTTCCAATACGGATTACGTTCTTAAGTCAAGACCCCACTATATTAGCTCTTGAAATATTATTGGTCTTTAGATATTGTCTATTGAGGCAAGTGGGAGGAGTAACTCATTGTGAAGATGCCCTTCTCCTCCTTCATGAAAAGAAGGGGAGAATGGATAGACCAGGTGAAACTCTGTGGGCGTTGCAAAGAATTATGGAAGTGATCGTCTCTGCCCGTTAGGCACTGCATAGAAAGCTTCTCAAAAAACATGAAAGCTGTAATCCCTTGTAGCTCCCATGGAGCCAAGCCCCATCAACTCATTACCCATCTTCTCCACAGATGAAGATGGCTAGTAGAGTCTGAAATAATTAGTTTAAGAATCCGAAACACTTGTCAAGACCTTCATTTCTTGATTAAAATCCTTGCAATATTGACTGTATTCAGCTGAGGGCTGTAGTCCATTAATTTCTAAAATCACATCCCTAATGACAGAAGTTGACCACATACAGCAAGTCTGGAGTGGCAGCACACAGAAGGCTATTTGAACTGTAAACTGCTAACAGTAATACTCATTTCACATGAGGGTGGATTTGATTTAAATCAAATTCATTTGAATCACGATTTTAATCATAATTTAAATTTTAAAAAATCTTTTTTTACAATTTAAATGAAAAGATTTCAAAAATTAAATTGTTATTTAAATCATGATGTAGAGATCAGTTTGGCTTTTTTTAAAAATGATTTTTATACATTCTGTTCTACATGCAGCAAACAAGTCTCATGGTTTCCACAGAAGTACCACAAAAGTCACTAGGCACTGACACGTGTACATATAGTTTATATTAAATAAATAAGAGATGCCTGTAGCAAAAGAATTTTAAGCTAAGAGATGTTTTGTCAGACTACATTCAGAAAATTTGGTTTCTAATAGTACCACATGTTCTGTACAGCAACATGAAGAACAAGAAAAGTTTTTAGTCACACAATTATCTTATTCTCTATACAAGGGCACTATTTTAGATCACAGTTATAATTTTGTGAGGGTTCAGTCTTTGGGGCTTCCCAAGGGTTCCAAAAAGGAGTCGACGCTTTTGGTTCTGCATTTAACTGTGGTTTATTGCCCTCAACAACTGGAACGTCAACATTAACAGGTGGTGGTTGCTTAGTCTCTTGCGCTGAGTCAAACTCAGGTAAGGGTACTTCAGTATTGTTCGTAACC